GATCCCAGGACCCTGGGATCATGACCTGAGCCGAAGGCAGACGCTTAACGACTGAGCCACCCAGGCGTCCCAAGGGAGTCGCAGAGCCGGTGCGCTCGGAAAACAGGAACTCTTGATCTCAGGGTTGTAAGTTCAAGCCTCCCCTCTTGGATGTAGATATTACTTTCAAAAAAAATAAAATCTTGGAACTGGAGGGTATTATGTTGAGCAAAATAAGTCAAACAGAGAAAGACATGTATCATATGACCTCACTGATATGAGGAATTCCTTTTTTTTTTTAGATTTTATTTATTTATTTGAGAGAGAGAGACTGAGAGAGAGAGCATGAGAGGGGGGAGGGTCGGGAGGGTCAGAGGGAGAAGCAGACTCCCTGCCAAGCAGGGAGCCCGATGCGGGACTCGATCCAGGGACTCCAGGATCACGACCTGAGCTGAAGGCAGTTGCTTAACCAAATGAGCCACCCAGGCGCCCTAATATGAGGAATTCTTAATTGCAGGAAACAAACTGAGGGTTGCTGGAGTGGGGGGTGGGGTGGGTGGGATGGGGTGACTGGGTGATAGCCACTGGGGAGGGAGGTGCTCTGGTAAGCTCTGTGAATTGTGCAAGACTGTTGAATCTCAGATCCGTACCCCTGAAACAAATAATGCAATATATGTTAAGAAAAAAAGAAGAAGAAGAAGGTAGCAGGAGGGGGAGAATGAAGGGGGGGAAATCGGAGGGGTAGACGAACCATGAGAGGCTATGGACTCTGAGAAACAAACTGAGGGTTCTAGAGGGGAGGGGGGTGGGAGGATGGGTTAGCCTGGTGGTGGGTATTGAGGAGGGCACATTCTGCATGGAGCACTGGGTGTTATGCACAAACAATGAATCATGGAACACTACATCTAAAACTAATGATGTAATGTATGGGGATTAACATAAGAATTAAAAAATTTTAAAAAAATAAAATCTTAAAAAACATGATAATTATCTAAACTCAGTCTATCACCTTAAACTAAAACATAACGCTAAAACAACACAAAAATACTATACATCCTGTTCTGTAATTTGCCTTTAAAAAATAAGTGGAAAAATATTTGTCATGTAGATATGCATTGTTCTTACTTTTTTAAAAGATTTTATTTATTTGTCAGAGAGAGAGCACAAGCAGGGGGAGCAGCAGAGGGAGAGGATGAGGGAGAAGCAGACTCCCAGCGGAGCAAGGAGCCCCATGGGGGCCTAGATCCCAGGACGCTGGGATCATGACCTGAACTGAAGGCAGCCGCTCAACCAACCGAGCCACCCAGGCGCCCCTGTAGTGTTTTTATTAATGATCGCATACTCCTCCAATGTGATGTTTAATCATAGATTATTTGGGGGCACATGGGTGGCTCAGTCGGTTGAGCATGGGACTCTTGATCTCTGCTCAGATTTTGATCTCAGGGTTCAAGCTCTGCGCTGGGCTCTGTTCTGCCTGCTTTAAAAGAAAAGGGATCTATCCCATTTGGTGGGCATTGGGTAGTTTCTAACAGTTAACTCTCAGCGGGAGTGCCCCACTGTACTGTATGTAACCTGTGTGTGTTTTGTGAGTATGTATTTTTCACCTAGTATCCGTACTTCTCTAGCATAATCTCCTACTAGCGGTCTGACTGCTGGGTTAAGGAAGGGTATGGACTTTGTAAACTTTAATAGGCCTTTTGCAAGACGGCAGGCCACTGCCGAGGCCTGGAGCGCGGACCCGCCACTTGGAAAGGGAGTCGCAGAGCCGGTGCGCTCGGAAAACAGGAAGGCGCGGCGACTCCCGCCGGGGGGCGGGGAATCCGTCCCGGGGAAGCGGGGTGCACGCGTGGGGGCGCGCGGCCGGGGAGCGGCAGGCGTCTGCGGGGGGGCGCGCCCACCTCCCCGTGCGGCCGGTCTTGCGGGTACGTGGACGCCTGACGCGGACTGCGGTGCTGACGGGGACGCCGCGGCCGGGCGAAGGGACGAAGAGCCGCACAGCTGCTGAAGGACAGCGGGGAGGGAGAAGCCGCACGAGCCCGGCTCGCGGGCGACGAGGTGGCCGAGTGGTTAAGGCGATGGACTGCTAATCCATTGTGCTCTGCACGCGTGGGTTCGAGTCCCGCCCTCGTCGGCGGCTCTTTTGCTCCGCGAGTTACGCCCCACTCCGCCCGGCTGGGTGATTCCCTCGGATCCTGCCTGTTCTCCGCTGCTTCAGGAGCACTTGCTGTGCCGGAACGTCCTTCGTCAATTGATTTATTTCCTTCGTGTTTCATTCCCACATCAACTTTTCATTCCCTTGTAAGTTTGGCTTTGCACGGATTCCCCACTGAGGAAACAACTGAAAAATTGAGGGCCATAGAAAAATATTGCCTAACAAAGAGGAACTGGTAAGACTGTCTACAGAGTAATGTGCACAAAATTGTCTATATCAGGGGCGCCTGGGTGGCTCAGTCGTTAAGCGTCAGGTCATGATGCCAGGGTCTTGGGATCGCGTCCCGCATCGGGCTCCCTGCTCGGCGGGGAGCCTGCTTCTCCCTCGCCCACTCCCCCTGCTTCTCCCTCGCCCACTCCCCCTGCTTCTCCCTCTCCCACTCCCCCTGCTTCTCCCTCTTCCACTCCCCCTGCTTCTCCCTCCCCCACTCCCCCTGCTTCTCCCTCGCCCACTCCCCCTGCTTCTCCCTCGCCCACTCCCCCTGCTTCTCCCTCGCCCACTCCCCCTGCTTCTCCCTCGCCCACTCCCCCTGCTTCTCCCTCGCCCACTCCCCCTGCTTCTCCCTCTTCCACCTCCCCTGCTTCTCCCTCCCCCACTCCCCCTGCTTCTCCCTCCCCCACTCCCCCTGCCTGTGTTCCCTCTCTCGCTGTCTCTCTCTCTCTCTCCGTCGAATAAATCGATAAAATCTTAAAAAAAAAAACTGTATTAAACCTCACAGGTTATTTAAGGCATTTTCAGGCTAATGTTACCTCTACTGCAATTTTCGTCTATTATTTTTTATTCTTTTTTTTTAAGATTTTATTTATTTGACAGAGAGAGACAGAGAGAGAGGGAATACAAGCAGGGGGAGTGGGAGAGGGAGAGGCGGGCTTCCCGCCGATCAGGGAGCCCGGTGCGGGGCTTGATCCCAGGACCCCGGGATCACGACCTGAGCCGAAGGCAGACGCTCAACGACTGAGCCACCCAGGCGCCCCTATTATCTTTTATTCTAACTTTAAAAACAACCTTTATTTCCTAAGGATTCTTGTCTTGGACAAGGAGGAGAATGTATTCTTAGAGGTATCACAAAACTAAAAGTGACATTGCCAGTTAGGGCTAAAGATTTCTTCCTGAGGAAAGCAAAGAAAAATATTAGTATTGTGTAGTTTCTACTTGTAACTTCCATCTTGGCAGACATTTGGGGGGAAAAAATAACATATTCATTTTATTATTTCCATTTTTTCCAAGACACATGCTTTTTATTTATTTTTATTTTTTAAATTAAGTTGATTAATTTAAGGAAGCTCTATACCCAATGCAGGGCTTGAACTCACAACGTCAAGATCAAGAGCTGCATGCTCTACCAACTGAGCCACCTGGGTGCTCCTATTATTTCTATTTTTGATAAGTTCTACAGTCACATGATTCAAAAAATATAAAAAGCTATACAGCAAGTTTTGTCACCAGTTACCCCCCCACCAGGAGGACACTATTAGTCCTCAAGTATCCTTCCAGAAACAAAATATGTGTATATAATATTTAGCTGTCCAGATATATCATTAAATGAAAAAGAACATAGTGCAAGACAATATGTAGATGGTACTTCTAAAAAGAAGTAAACATATCTGCAGTTGAATATATACACCATTTTGCATGTGTGTGTGTCTGCATCTGTCATATAAAAATCTAGCAGCGGTGTGCTGTGTTCTAGGGTGTATTCATTTGTGAGATATTGCCACATTTCCTCCATGGGGGTTGTGTTGATTTACAGTCCCCACCAACAAAGTGGAAAGACCAGACCACACCTGCTTGTGCGACCCTCTAAGGGGGAGTATTATTTGACCTAACGTTGTCACATCATCTAAATGGAGGCACAAGGAGGAAATGATTAGGAATCCCAAATAATGTTATAAGCTTGGTAGTCTTGGTTTATCACAGAGTTTCTGAGTAACCACTGGCAGTTTATAAATTGGACTGATTAAATATTTAAGATTTAATAGATTTCCGGGATTGGTGTGGTGGAACCTGTGTTTGCCTTGAGGGTAAAACTCGTTTGATTGCTTTATTAGAATGAAATTTTGAAATGTCTAAGTTAGAGGTCTGGATGGACCATTGGATTCAAAGCTTTACATCTTATGCAACTCATGAGGGCACTCTACTTCCCTAGTTCTCAAAAGTGTGTTTTTCCCCCCAAAATAGCATCATCATCACCAGGAAACTTGCTAGAAATACAAACTGTAGGGCCGGGCGCAACAATATGTGCTTTAACAAGCTCCAGGCAATGCTGATTTATACTACAGTTTGAAACTACTACTTCTGTTTTGTTTCAAAACATGGCTGACCTGGTTTCTCTTCTCTCCAGGACCCGCGTTTAGCCACGTTTCTGCCATCTTTCCAACATCCACATGTTGAGTGTTTGTCTGGAACCTTCCCGGCTTTGCCTGGCTCAGTGTCTCCAACCCCTACTCCGTCCGCGTCTAGAGCTGGGGCCCTCAGGGCAAGCTCAGGTGGTGTGAGAGACATCAGCCCACAGCACCAGCAACAAACCCGTAGAATGACAAAATCCGTGTATCGAATCGATGCAGCGACGGGAGACCCCGGAGTAATGGAGGTGCGGCTCCGCAAGGCGGGGAGACGTGGCCTCGTGGAGGACTGAGTCCCCGGGGAAGGACCCCGAGGACACTGGGGGCGAGGGGGTCCGGTCGCTGGCTGTTTCCAGGCGGGACCAGGAGAATCGAGGGTTCCCTGGGGACGGCGCGCGGTCATCACAGGGCCGCGGGCCGGGCCGGGCCGCAGGTGGGCGGTGGCGTCCCGGGGGCTCCCGTGTCAGAGGAGCGACCCGGCGTTCACACTCTCATCCCGCAGCCCTCGCCGGCGGCCCCGCGCGCTGGCGGGCGGCGGGGAGGCCCCCGAGGGCCCCGGGACTCTGGGCTTCCGCGGGGCCCACAGACTCGGTCGCTCCCTGAGGCTGAGCGAAGGCGACCGGACCCAGAGGCCAGACCCGAAGTCCGCAGCGCCCACCCTGCCCGGCGCGACAGGCGTGCGATCCTCTCCCGTCGTCCCCGGGATGCTTGGGACGGATGCACCTGCGCTTCTCCTGCGGTTCGCGACTCAGCGGGGCGGCGGCGGCAGCGCGGGACCCTCCGAAGAGCTGGGTTCGGGCCAAGGCGGGGGAAACCGGAGCGCAGGTGCCGCAGTCTGTTCCTGCTGAAGAAGAGGCAACGGAGCGAGGGACCTGGGGTCCGGCCGTGAAGTCGCTGTCACGCACGTCTGGTGGGAGAATGGCCTTTGGGGGGGGGGGAGGTGGCGGCAAACTGGCGCGTTATCGACATTTAAAAAATAGGTACCAGACTTCAAAAGTAGAGTCACACATGTATGGTCAACTGATGTTCATCAAAGATGCCAAGGTGATTCAGGGAATTCTCTAGACGGAGAAGGAGAGTCTTTTCAACAGTTATGCAGCATTTGGACAGCCAGCTGGGGGGGGGAGGGGGGAGGATGACTCTCCATTCTTACTTCACACCATATACAAAAATTAACTCACAAGGGCTCATAGACATAAAACCTAAAACTAAAACCTAAAACTTTGAAATTTCTAAAAGAAAGCATAAGAGAAAATCTTTGTGGATGTGAGTTTGGTAAATATTTTTAGAATAAAACACAGAAAACAAACTATAAAAGAAAAATAGATAACTTGGAATTTATCAAAATCAAAAACTTCCGTTCTTTGAAAGGCACTGTTAATACAAATGAAAGGACAAGCCTCAGACTGGGAGAAAACATTTGCAAAGCACATATCTGATTTAAAAAAAAAAAAAAAAAAAAAAAGGCTGGTATCCAAAGTAAAGAACTCATACAATTCACAATAGGAAAAAAATCCCATATTCCATTAAAATGGGGGAACGATTTTAATTTAGACCTCAGCAAAGAAAATATATAGATGGCAAATAAGCACCTGAAAATATCTCAATATCATAGTTATGAAGGAAATTCAATTAAAACCACAATGAAATACCACTACACTCTTACTATAATGGATAAAAAAAAATATTTTTAAAGATTTTATTTATTTGTGAGAGAGAGAGAAAGGAGAGGGAGTGGCAGGCAGAGGGAGAAGCAGGCTCCTTGGAGACCAGTGGGGGACTAGATCCAAAGACCCTGTGATCTTGACCTGAGCCAAAGGCAGACACTTAACCAACTGAGCCACCCAGGTGCCCCTAAAATTTTTCTTTTAAGTAACAACACTAAATGTCAATGAGGATGTGGGGCAAATGGAACTCTCCTATCTTGTAGTGGGAATACAAAATGGTACAGTCACTTGGAAAAATCAGTTTGGCAGTTTCTTATGAAGTTAAACACAAACTTGACAACCCAACAATCTTCCTCCTAGGCATTTACTCAAGAGAAATGAAAACATATATCCATCTGTAAGTGAATGCGTATAGCAGCTTTATTCATAATCACCCAAACCTGGAAACAACCCGAATGTCCATCATCCGGTAGATGGATAAGCAAACTGTGGTACATCCATGCAGTGGAATTTTAACTCAGCAATGCAAAGGACAAACACACTACAACATTAATTAATCTCAAAAGTAGTATGTAAGTGACAGAAACTAGAAAGCAGACTCAAATGCTTATGCTGAATGATTCCATCCCAGAAAAGGCAAAAGGTATGAGTGAAAAATCAGATTAATGATTGTCAGAGCTGGGGGTGGAGGAAAGATTGATTATAAAGGAGCAAGGAGTGGGGTGCCTGGGTGGCTCAATTGGTTAAGTGTCTTACTCTTGATCTGGTTAAAGTCTTGATTTCAGGGTGGTGAGTTAGAGCCTCATGCTGAGCGTGGAACCTACTTAAAAAAAGGGGGAGGAAGGGGGATCCTGGGGTACTGGAGGTGTGTGTCTTGGTTGTAGCTAGTGGTCTTTATAGGATGATGCATGCTTGTCCAAACTCACCCAACTGTGCACATAAAAAGGTAAATTTTACTGTATGCAAATTATATCTTAATAGATCATCACTCAGAATTCCACTTCTAAAACTCTATCCTATAGAAATACTTACATATGCTCATCAAGAATTGTCAAAGAATGCTCAAGATAGTAGTGTTTGAAATAGAGGGTTAGTAGATGGTTGATTTAACAAATTTGGTGCATCACTTAATCGCACTACCACATAACCATCAAAAAGAATGAAGTAAGTAGTAACTGATCTAAAAAGTACCACAGAACACTAATGTATAGCAGTTTCCATTTTTGTAAATGTAATTCTATAAGTACACATAAATTATATATTCATTTATAAATAGCTTGGAGGAATACACCCCATACTGTTGGCATGGATTTTTTTTTTTTAAAGAATTGACTTGGGAGTGCAAGGACTTTTCAATTATTACTGAATTTGCTGTTGCAATGTTTGAAGGGGGTGACTGGTGGAGGGCATGTAAGCTTTAACATTTAAAAAAAATTCCATCTGTATAAACATTGGTCACTCACATAGGACTCAGGACTCAATTCCTGTTTGTGCTGACCACCCACCACACCGAGCTGAGTGGAAAACGAAAGAATTAAAAGGGGCGGGGGGCACCTGGGTGGCTCAGTCGGTTCAGCATCTGCCTTCTGCTCAGGTCATGATCTCATGATCCCAGAACCCTGGAAGGGAGCCCTGCATGGGGCTCCCTGCTCAGCGGGGAGCCTGCTTCTCCCTCTCCCTCTGCTGCTCCCTCTGCTTGTGCTCTGCTCTCTGTCAAATAAATAAATAAAATCCTTTTTTTTTTTTTTAAGAAAGAATGAAGAGGTATAATCCCTGACTGCAAAGGACTTGTCCTTTTGACTGGTGGAAGTGCGAAGGGGGCGCTAAGTGGCACGGGGGGGGGGGGTGTAGGTGGTGGATGGGGAGGACATGTTAGTAGTGGCTGGGCAAAGGAATGGGGAGACCCTTCCCACTGCAGACCCAGGGATTTTCAACCGTTTGGGGTCACCCCTTTAAGGATGTGAAGAAAGACTCAGAATTCATGATTTCGGGGATTCTCCCCCCGGCGACCATTCAGGAACCTCAAGGCAGGACACTAAAGTGGGGGGCTGGGATCTCAGAGCAAAGAGCAACTCGGGTACTGGCGGCCAGTCTTTGCTGGATGAGTTCCCAGGTCCTTCCAGGCTGAAGATGTTCTGAATCAGAAAGGTCGAAATTAGGAATCCGTGAGTCCAAACCAGGAAGAAGCACAGAGTGGGCAAGAAGGTCTACTTAGTAAATACCCCCTCCCCACCTGGTAGGCGTTGCGCTCTGTCGAGCCGCAGGGGCCGGGCCCCGCCTGGCACTCTCAGACTCTCGTTTTCCGCCCCAAGTCCAGTTCCTAGGGTTCTTCACCTTCCTGCACCTCGAGCTCCGCTGACCTTTGGCCGCCCAGGCTGCCTGGGCGCGCAGGTGGTGAGTTCGGGGGGAGACGCGTCGCCCTGCGCTCAGCCTGGACTCTGGGCTCTGCTACCCTCAGGGGTGACTGCCCACCACGCTCGCGGTCGCCGGTCACAGCGGTGGCGGTAGGAATGTTTGCAACCGCAGATATAAGTGAAACTAAAAGAGGACACTTCATTCAACGCTGCGCAAAAATAGTTTGAGAACATTGTTGCAATGTATGTCTAGAAAGTATAGCATCCCACAATAACCTTAGAAGAAATAGAAAGTCCGGGTGCACCTGGCAGGCTCAGTCGGTAGAGCCTGTGGCTCTTGATCCCAGGGTTGTGAGTTCAAGCCTTACGCTGGGCCTAGAGTTTACTTAGAGAACAGAAAATCCAAACAAACCATTTACAACGGAAGGCATAAAAGTTGTCAGCTACGCCCCCCTTTAGATACCAGACAAAACAGTTTCAAGGGTGAATTTTAACCAACCATTTACAGAACAAATAATCCCAATGCTTTTAAAACTGTTCCAGAACATAGAAAAAGAAGGGAATAGTCGATTCTGGGGGGAAACAATACAAATATTAATCTGGACGCTCAAAATTGATTACCAATGAGAAAGCCATCTGATTCTCATTTATACTTAATCCTAAATAGGAGTAAACAGAATCCAGAAGCACATTAAAGGAGTAAATAATTAACTATGGCAAAATGATGATGAGCTTAAAATTGTTTAATATTAAGAAATCTTTAGGGGCACCTGGGTGTTTCAGTTGGTTAAGCATCTGCCTTTGGCTCCTGTCATGATCTCAGGGTCCTGGGATCGAGCCCCACCTCGAGCCCCACATCGGGCTCCCTGCTCAGTGCGGAGCCTCCTTCTCCCTCTCCCTCTGCTGCTCCCCCTGCTCATGCTCTCTCTCTATCCCAAATAAATAAATACAATCTTTAAAAAATACATTAAGAAATCTTTAAATATAATTCACCATATTAACATATCTAAGGAAAAACAGCATATAGTCATTTAAATAGATGTGGAAAAGCCATCTTATTATATTAATATACATTTTTGATATTAAAATTTTAGTGAAAAAGAATAGATGGTTCCTTAACATAATGAAACATACCTAACTTACATCAACAATCATTCTGCTTTTCAGATAAATATTAGATACCTTTCCTTTAAAGTTAAAAATATGTTAGAAAAATGTCCATTCTCACTACCATTATTTTATATTGTTCTGGAGAAACTAGACAATGCATTTTTTTAAAGTAATCTCTCCACCCAATGTGGGGCTCGAAATTACAACCCCAAGATCAAGAGTCACATGCTTTATGGAATGAGCCAGCCAGGAGCCCCTAAACAATGCATTTAACAAGAGAAATAAGTAAATTGGAAGGTAGTTAAAATTATCATCATATTAGATTTATGATGGTATCCCAGGATATGCTTATAAAATTAAATATATTTATAAAAATAAACAAGAAAAATCAATTGTCTACACACATACAATGGAAGAAAAGACACCCATTTACCGTAGCAGTGAGACATAAAACATTGAGATATAAATTTAAGAAGAAATTACAAGATCAATGATAAGAAAATTTTAAATATTGTTGACTGACCCAAGATATGGAGAAAGAGGAATATCAATTTTCTCTACATGTTAGTCTAGGTATTTCATATAATACTAATAAAAATTAACATAGAATTTTGTTTTCAAACTCAATAAATTTCTTCTCAAGTTTATGTGAAAAGTAAACAAGCATTAGTAGCCAAGAAAATTCAGAAAAGAATAACAAGGAAAACATAGGCCTTTGGGATTTTAAAACATATTACAAGCTACAATGAATAAAACATTGTAGTATAAACAGGATAGAAAAATCCATAAGTAGGCCCAAATATTTAAGCATTTGATTAATATGGCATTTCAAGTTAGTGGAGAAATGATGGCTCATTCAAGAAATGGTACTATGGGGCACATGGTTGGCTCAGTTTGTTAAGTGTCTGCCTTAGGCTCAGGTCATGATCTCAGGGTCCTGGGATTGAGTCCCGGGATGAGTCCTGGGATCGAGCCCTGCATTGGGGCTCCCTGCTCAGGGGGGAGCCTGCTTCTCCCTCTCTTGCTCCCCCTGCCTGTGCTCTCTGTCAAATAAATAAATAAAAACTTTAAAAGAAAAGAAAAGAAAAGGTCCTGGGACATCTGGGTAAATAACTGAAAAAAAAAAGTGTAATCCACACCTCACATCTTACAACTGTATCAGTTCCAGGTGGTTCAAAATTTTAGGAAAAAAATAAAACCATAAAAGTACTAGAAGAAACTACATGAGAATTTTCCCTTACAGTTTTGGCACAAGGGAGGCCTTCTTATCACAGAAAGCATACAAGATTAGTAAATTCAACTAAAAAATTAAAAATTTCTGTATACCTAACTAAAGCCACCATAAAGAAAGTCAAATGAAAAAATTCCAAATTATCACAAAGGACTAATTTCCCTAACATATGATGATTGTGATTATACAAGTCAAGAGAAAGACCATCACAAATAGGAAAAAAGAGAAAGGATGTGAACAGAAAGGAATTGTACATAAATATTAATTTATTAATTTTTTTCATATTTAAAGAAACTAATTAGTACTAATTAATACTAATATTAATGATATACTATTTTTTGCCTATCAGGTTGGCAAAAATCAAAAAATTTGGTGAAGATTTGGGGTGGCATCGCTTTTAGATATTGTTAGAGAGTTGAAAAAAATTTTGAAAGTATTTATTTATTTGAGAGAGAGAGTGCGAGGGGGGGCGGGAGGGGCAGAGGGAGAGAATCTCAAGCAGACTCCCCAATCTCTGGAGCCAGACTCAAGGCTCCACCTCGCGGCTTGATCTCATGACCTTGAGATCATGACCTGAGCTGAAACCAAGAGGTGGGCACTCAACTGACTGAGCCACCCAGGCACCCTAAAGTTGTAGATTTGTATAACTACTTCTTTTTATTTATTAAAATTTTAAAAATTTTAATTCTGGTGTAGTTAACATAGTTATATTAGTTTCAAGTGTATTTTATAACTACTTTGGAGAGCAATTTAGTAGTGTATATTAATTTCATAAATGCATATATTCTTTGGCTCAGCAATTCTACTTTTAGGAATTTATCCTAGAGATTTACTAACATGTGTAAGATGTAGGATACTATTTAGTTCATCATTGTTTATAAATAGAAAATATTTGGAAATAGCTTAATTGCTCATCAGTAGAAGACTAGGTAAATAAATCTGTGAAATGGAATATTTTGGAACTGTCAAAAATAAAAAGGGAGATCTGTGTGTCCAGCTCTGAGAAAATCTCCAAGATTTATTGTTAAATTAAACAAACAGAATAGGGAACTGTAGGCGTCATTTTCTACTATTCGTGACAATAATAGGGAGAAGGTATGTATAAATACATGCTTCTTCATGCATAAAATATCTCCAAAAGTCTACATAAGAAATCGAAGGTTTTGACTGTTTCTAGGGAATGAAATTAGGTGGCTTGGGGGTAGGAGTAAGATGAAGATTTTTAATTAAAAATTTTTGTTTTGAAAATGTTTAAATATATAAAGAGAGAGAGAGAGAAAGAGAAAGACTAGTACATATCCACGATCCCTTATCCAGTTTCAAAAATCCATAAAATTCTGAAAACTCTTTTTTTTTAATTTTTTTTAAAGATTTTATTTATTCACTTGAGACAGACATAGAGAGAGAGAGAGAGAGAGAGAGAGAGAGAAAGCATGAGCAGGGAGAGAGGCAGAGGGAGAGGGAGAAGCAGGCTCCCCGCTGAGCCAGGAGCCCGATGCGGGGCTTGATGCGGGGGCTCGATCCCAGGACCCCGGGATCATGACCTGAGCCGAAGGCAGACGCCCAACCATCTGAGCCACCCAGGCGCCCCCCCCCCTTTTTTTTTAAATTTTTTAAAGAAATTCTGAAAACTCTTAAAACTGGTAAATCTTCGTCTTCATCCGGGGCAAATCTCTGTTACTGTTCTGTTTTTAGAGACTAGCTCTGGGAACCAGTGGCCTGCGCGGTGGGCCTGCACTACCCCCCCCCCACCCCAGGGCCTGGGCGCAGGTGGCCTATTGACCGGCCCACGGCGGGGACACCCCGCCGCCTCCCGGCCGGCGCGCACCCAAAACCCCAAAATAAGTTAGCGCTGGCCGCATGGTGGGAGCGGGCATCCATCCTGCCGAGGGTGGGGGCTGTAAACATGCGAGCGGGGGCCTCCCCAGTGGTCTCCAACCACCAGGCGCAGAGCAGCCGGAGCAGGGCGGGCTCGGGCGTCTGAGAGGCCGCCTTGGATCTGGTCCACCCCCTGCTGGGCTCAGAGGTTGTAACGCGACGCGCGGTCTTCACGTCACAGAGGCCTCCTTGCCCACGGTCTTGGGGAGCCCTTGGTGGCGGTGCCAGGTCGCTGGCACCCTTGCACTCCGTAGCCACACGGTGGTCACCGCGCGCAGCGGGTGCTCGGGCTTGGCCAGCGCGAAGGCCCCCTTCTTGGACGGGGCGGCCCTGTAGGACCTGTGTCGCTCTCGGCTGTCTGGAGCCGCGCTGCGGCGGCGGGAAGGCGCCGCGGTTGGGCCGCGATTCTGGGCGCTTCCGGGCTGAGGCTCGGAGCGGAGCCCACGGGCCTCCTGCAGGTGCGCACCTAGCGAGCGGCGGTGGCGGGCACACTAGACACCAGCAGGGAGCTGGGGGTGCCACGTCCGTCTGGCCGGCCTCCAGGCGCTGCGTGGCCTCCCCCCCACCCCCCGTCCCAGGGGTCTGCGCAGCTCGGTCCGCCCCCCCCCGCCGCCCCCTCCCCCACCCCAGGGGTCGGCGCAGCTCGGTCCGCCCCCCCCCCGCCGCCCCCTCCCCCACCCCAGGGGTCGGCGCAGCTCGGTCTCCAGCCGCCGCGGCTCCTCGGGCGGGCGTGGGGTGGCGTCAGGCGGGGCTGGGCCGCTGTCCTAGCAGGGCCCCCCCACGCGG